AAAAACACTTTTACCAACACTCGTACATCTTCTCAAAACGAAATTATATGCAAGAATGATTAGAATTTTATATACAGAAGAAGTTTTATGTATGATCGTAGAGCAGCAAGTGTAGAAATAACCGTTATAAGAGTTCGCGAACTCGCCACCGTGTGTTTGCCGTGGCAGCAGTGCACAGAAATCTTTGTGCGGTTTGATGACGTTGGCAAATCAGCGTTTCACAACTGTGTTGTTGTTGATCTACGGCAATCTCTTTCTGAGTGGCGTCTATCATTGTCTGGTGTGCCGTCACCATCAACTCATGGACCTTGCATCACGATAATTCACCTGCTCACATGGCACTGCCTGTGAGGGAGTTTCTAGCTAGTAAACAAACAAAGTATTCCTCCGAAAGGTCACTTGACTTTCAACAGAATGCACCGCGTTATATCCAAGAAGACACTATTCATAACCGCTGCTGTAAGAACTTAAAAACCTATAAAATGATAATTTCCTCTTTCACCTTTCAGAATAACATCAACATTTAGATTTTTGCAAAACAAAATCAAAATACTCGTCTGTAAAGAAAGCAATACACATGTAGCTACTCGCAGTCTTCACAATTTCCCCTCATCCTCGGCAGCTCGATGTTGAGACCTGGCCGCAAACAAGGAAACGACGTCATAAGCACGAACTGCTATTCGTTGCAGTCAAGTTCCCAGGTTTCAGAGTTTTCTTACTTTTTCAACCATTACTGACCTCAGCAATTCGTAATCTAATCGGTCGCATAGAAGTAACATGTAAAGCTGCTGCGGAACCTGCATACAGAGAATTCATGTCGTTAATCAGAAGAAAGGTACTTTATCTCAACCGGCAATAAGGTTAACATTATAGTAAGTGAATATTGAATTATCAGCTTTACATACATGAGACATGTGTATGTAGTTGTAACCTGTTTTTCCTAGGATTGAAACGTCACATTGTGACAATTCGCAAGAATTTCCTCTAAGATGCGTATCAGATTCATCACAAGGAATCCGTTACACCAAGAGATCGTTACACAAAGTGTCAAGGATTCCTTTTACAGAATGGTCCGTTAAGGGAACGGGCATTTTTGCAACTTCTGCAGATCAGGCTAGACGTTAGTAGTAGTTCACTTAAATATACGGTATAAAGGCTAATTTTTTAAAAGTACAGAAAAACAAACATCAAAGTTTACCTATCTATTTATCTGTCTGTCTGTCTATCTATCTAACTGTATGTCTGTCTATCTATTTATCCACCTATCCATGGTTCTACAGTCCTCTGTTGGACCTTGGCCGATTTTTTCAGTTTCTTAATCCTACACACAGTCGGCAGGACTCCGTGGATGGGGGATTAGCCTGTCGCAAGGCCACTACCTACACACAGAACAATTGTACAAAGACATCCATATCTCGCGTGGGATTCGAACCCCCGACCCTAGCGTTCGAGCGAGCGAAAACAACATCAAAATTTTGGAAGGAATATTCTGAAGATAATATTCATCATCGGCCACTGAAAATATAACCGTGGAATTTGAATTTGACAAGTACCCAGAACAACAACGGAGCTATTACCCGTACGCTCTACATAATCTTCATTACTGGAGGAGACTTGCAATAATCTTCCGTTCTATGACTGTCCGATTCTCCCTAGCCAATGAGGTACATAGACTGTCCAAAGGATTGTTTGCAGTGTGCGCCTACTGAGGCTAATGAACGGAGATCTATACAGTTTGTTTTTAAGAGGGGTGGTCGTGCGGTCGCGTAGTTGATAGGGGCACTGTGCTACAGGCCGGAGGGTCGCGGGTTCGATTACCGATGAGGTCATTGAATATTTTTAATTGACCTAATCCTTCCAGCCGCATTATGGCCCTGGGATCGACTCAGTTTCTAAGAGAAATGAGTACNTTTGGGGGGGGGGGGGGAGTGGGCGGCCAGCGTGTAAGTCCGACAACCTCACCGCCATCTGTTAGTCTAGAAAATAAGGGAGCCTCGACGTCTCAGAACTCTATGGGACTCCATGGTCTCTTACAGGGATAGCTTTATTCTTTGCTTTTAGAAAACCACATGTGAAGTCGTAACAGAATAAAAATCTCATCGTACGAAAAACGTACATAGCATAACATACAGAACTCCTTCGTGTCTATAAATTTAAAGTTAAATATTTCTGAGCTTGTCAGATGTTTAAAGAAATACAAGAAGTAGCTTATGGTGACGTAGTGTGTCATATGATTATATTTGCAACATCATGTTCGTATCTGCAATGAAGGAACGTCATGGACAACTAGGAATGCTTAATCGCAAAAAAAAAAAAAATAGAGAGAGAGAGAGAGAAATTATAAAATACGTGAGCTCCATTGCAATAAAACATTTCAAAATCTGCACTATGTTCTCTCCCGCCCCCACCACCTTGAGCAAAAAGAACTCACAACCTAATATAGGAAAATGTGGTTTTTTGTCGTCCAGAAAGGTGACTCAAACAATAATCCTTCTGACTTTCGGTAGGTTCGCAAGTCGAAAATCGGTCAGGACAATAAAAATCCTTACTTACGTGTTCCATGGGTCCTATTTTTCAACATATGTTGAAATACTGAGCAGGTGTCTTCTTTCCTCACCTGAAGACGGAAACAGATCTAGCCTCCGAAACGTCGTGTTTCTATTTACTACAATTCCGGACCATAGAAAAAGTCCTAACCCCCAGTAATTCTGTGTCTTGTACCGTCGCTTCTACAGAAAATAACGTCAGACTGGGCACAATAACCAAAATTGTTTAATAAGTGACATGTGTAAAAACAGACACGTAAGCTACAACCCGAGGTATGATCTCTCTCGCTAAGCAGCCTGAAACGTTCCGCGTTATGGAAATGGGTTTGAAGTTAGAGTTGTTTTTCAATCGGTCGCACTCAGCGCACAGCGGCCTTCGCTTGTTTTACTTGTGCAATTGCGACTGACATATTGATACGGTTATGCGGGTGACACAAAAACCACACTCGAAACCTCGCTGCCGATTCTATGTAACTCGATAATGTTGAAGAGCTCCCCATACACAAAGGTCATCATTAGCACTGGCTTAAAAATCAAATCAGTTTGTATACAAGCCGAATCTTGGGCCAGGGCTTGACATTTTTATTTATACCTTCGTTATTCTGGCTGTTTCTTGTATATTACGTTGATATATACTGAGTTTCGCTTTCTTAAATTTTACATAACGTGTCTGAACTCGGTTACCATGGCGACATGAAGCAAAATATAGGCTGCACAGATATTAAAACCCGTCATGTTGCAATTTTAATCTTGATTACTATAGCGACAAGGAATAAGGTGATTTTAAGATATCAACATCCATCGCCTTTGCAATAACTAGATTACTGAAGTACCTGTGACTTCAGGCACGAAACCTAGCGCTTTATTATACACGTAGATGTTATTCCAACTATCATATATTGTTGCGCAGATAAGAAAACTGCACAATGAGGAGCTTCATAACTCGAACTCTTCTCCAAGTATAATTAGAATGATCAAGTCAAGGAGGATGAGGTGGGCAGGACATGTAGCACGAATGGGGGAGAAGAGGAATTCATATAGGATATTGGTGGGAAAGCCCGAAGGAAAGAGGCCACTCAGAAGACCAAGGCGTAGGTGGGTGCACAATATTAAAATGGATCTCAGAGAGATAGAATGGGATGGTATGGCTTGGATTGAACTTGCTCAGGAGAGGGACCAATGGAGGGCTCTTTTGAACACGGTAATGAACCTTCGGGTTCCATAAAATTCTGGGAAGCTCTTGAGTTGCTGCACAACTGGCGGCTTCTCAAGTAGGGCTCAGCTCCATGAGTGAGTGAAATAAGAAAGAGGTGTTAAGTGTGACATGCAAACTAAAACCGAATATATTCGACTAATAAAATCACATTTTGTTTCACAATAATAATATTGTCTATCACTAAGAACATGAAATGGCATATACGTAGATTACAACTCAGGAAAGAAGCTCAGTTCTTGTATTTGACACACACACACACATTATCTGTTAACATGTGCTCGAAAAATGCTTTCCGTGTTTCTTCGGTAGTAACTTCCCGAATGGTAAAAAAAAAAAAGCACGTTCTCAAATGTCCCGCTTGTACTCAGACCTTTGAACTGTCTGACACAGAGTAATTTTATATTTGTTCCAGCGGCCTTCTTCTATGCCGGCAATTCGAAGGCCCCAAGCGCTTCTGGCTTCAGGATAAATGACGAGAGAGGATCGTAAGTAATAACCTGTCTCAACTAACTAAATAAATCTTTACTGAAAATCCTATTTTTGACCAGTCAGTAAAGAAATATTGTACATTATGAAACCTGAATATTCTTTACTCTTTTCATAACAGCATGTCATTAACATTCAGTCTACATCGCATGACCTATTTCTCTAAGTTGGACGTGAATACCCAGGTTCACATCTGTGCTTAGTTTAAAAAAATATCACCTTCTTTAACTGCCCCCAGTCCCACGTTCCTACTACTCGTACCTCGGCTCTGGGCATCGGTGTTAAAACGGCCTCAACTAAAGAGATTGGCTCGTTGTTAGTCAATTAGTATAGCAGATCTATCAACGGATGACGTCAAGTATAATACACCGACATTTAGAGCTAAAAAGGTTTTTCATATGATGTTGTGACATGCAGACTCTTTGCCAAGTAATAGCTGTGTAAACAGGTGACATTACAACAGCCGTTGCTAGGGAACAGCTCTGCGAACACGTTTGCCCGGCAACATGAGAACACGCAACAATGGAAGATACGTTTCGAAGGATGTACAGAGTCCACAGTGACCTAGACGCCGTGACAGCGCGAATATACTCGTGTTGAAACTACGGTGCAACAAACGTAGCGCCTACATAGAAAGAACGGTCCCTCCTTCCTCGAAGAGGAGGCCCCATTTCGAAACACGTATAGGTTTCCAGATAATAAATATATTCGACACGGATCTCGAGGAGACAGAAGCCAGGAAAAATTGTGTCAGCGAAGCCAGGAGAAAATTAACAGACCGACCTACAGACTTCTTGAGTCAGAATACAGTTGCACAACTCCCAGAGACGCGAGAAGCTGATGAAGACCAGCAGCAATTTACCAGACAGTTGTTGAGTCAGTTGAGTTACAGTTGTCAGAAGTAAGGAGCTGGTAGATGAGGCCTGGGACAGTTCGGGAATCCAGGGGAAGAGGAACGTCCGCTGTTGGAAACCGCTACCATGTAACGGCTAATGGAGACTGAGAAGGCTTTATGTTTGCTGCAGTTACAGTGATTTTTGGAGTATGTATCTCAGTGAGACTATCGTAATTATTTGTAGTTACGTTCTGTAAGTGGTCCATAAATCCGATTACCAGCCCAAATCCCGTCTACGGTTATACAGTCACGTGATACAATGTTCCTCTTGTTGCTTGAAGGTATTTTGAGGTAAGTATGAACAATCTGGGTCTTTTCTCTGCAGTTTCATTTGTCTCCATCACAGGTCTTACCAAGCACTTCTAGAGATTAGGCAGTAAAATGGGCTACCCCATCAAAAATTTTGCATGAGCTTCTTATTTCTTTCATAAATCTTATATTCCCCGCTCAAGTCATCCTATTTATCTTAATCGATGTAAAATTATATGAAAAATGTACCTTATAACCATCTGTTAAGGATTATGGACATGTAGTGAAAAGTAACAGTCAAAAATATTTTTATTATCAAAAGCAGTTCTGAAGCATTTTCCGATCAATATAATTTTAAGAAAGAACCTATTCACTTTTGAATAGACGTAACCCCACGTGTGTATATGTGCACCCATCCATATCCATATTAAGACTTTCTCAGCAGAAAGGTGTGGTTACAATAAAGGGGGCCAGGCGGCAATGAGACAAGAATAAACACGGTCTCGCCTTTGTCCGTTTACTTAAAGCACGGATATTAAATGCACTGACAAGGCTGCAACACCACAGCATCCAAATGAAGAACAGAGAGATACTTCATCAAGGTCACGACAGGTTTTCAAACCGAGTTCACATGCGACGCCAGGACGGCCCGACAAGTGAAAGTAAACAAAGCTACACTTCATTTCAATCACATGGGGTTGTCCCACATCACTGCTCAACTATCTGCGACAAGTGAAAAATCAATATGGAAATATCAGCAGGAACCATGAGCAGATTCTCCAGGTTTGTATCCCAAGAAATATCGGGTCCAAAACTCGGTTAGGATTGGTGGATATCTTAACCACGCATTTTATATAGGAGTTTAGGTTGTTACAGCGGTGCTTATGAAGAGCTCTATCTTCAGCGATATAAACACGTGCAGACGTGCAGTCCGCCGAAAGTCAATAATTTTTGGAGGTATATATCGCCTCCATCTTCAGGGTCGAAGACTGCTTGCCACCTACTTTCACGCTGGTTTCTTGCTTGGCTTACTTCTAGACATTTAGATTGAGGAAATATGTTCCTCCGAAACGTCTGTTGACTTTCAATGGATTTTTTTCCTTGGCTCTACAGCCCCAGTGGGCCTAGGCCTACCTCCATGAACTTCTCCGTTCACTTCGGTTTTTCTCGATCTTACACATTCGGTAGGACTCCTTGGGCGGGTGATCAGCTCGTCGTAAGGCCTCTACCTGTACACAAACACAGAAAAACGCACACACACAAACTAAACATCCATGCCCTGAGTGAGAATCGAACCCACGATCTCGGTTTTCAAGCGAGCGAAGACAGTACATGCCTTAGACCGCTCGGCTACCGTGACCGGCCTTTCATTGGATTACAAGGTATTATATCCCAGAAGGTAGTGCTATTCAAGCATTTTATGTTTCCCTTGTCTGTCCAGCTTAAGCCCGAAGAGTAGCACCTGCCTTCAAATAGACTATGACCGCCTCGTTCCAAATACTTACGTCAGTGTGACGTCTTTCCATCTAATTCGGAGCTATTCAGTTAAATAAGTGACGTTAAAACGTTACTGAAATTGCTAGTAACCTTAACGCTATTGAAACAGACAAGTTGCCTCGCGCGGCAATGCTGCTGACTTGTGTGACCTGTATTTTTTGTGGGGGGAGGGGGGTCCGGTTCGAATTTCGGCACTTTTTATAAGTTCATACACGCAAATTTTCAGATAGTATCTTGAAATTTGTCACGACCACTAACCTCCAGATCCTTTCCAATTCATCTTATTATCACGTGATGCTTTATAATCTCATCTACTGACAGCGTTGTTAAATAAACTATAAAGAAGCAAATATTAACAATTATGCTCAATAAATTATTAATGCATTAGCTGACACTGAAAGAAAGTACCATATCATGCAGACTTATCTATATGTCTAATTTTAAAGCAAAGAAATATCCAATATAACAATTATCTTGGACACTGTCCACTGATTTGAGTTTTTCTTAATCACGTCTTTAAAAGAACTCAGAGTGATGGAAATATGACCAACACTATCTATCGTTAATAGTCAAAACTGAGTTAAAAAAAATCTTTCCTCCTTTACGCCTAATGGCGAAAGAACTTCGCTTTAAGAAATGTTGTGTTTGAAAAAACCGAAGAAGAATAAGGGCACTACGAAAAATAATAGACATTTACTGTAACAGATTTAGACTTCGCTTATATTACAACATTCTGAACTGGTCTGTTTAGGCCGCAGCCCTTACAGCGGTACGTGAAGAAACACGTGACAATAACACTTCCGGACGGAAAGACACTGCACAACATCAAGTGGTTTTCAGTTTGGTGTGACGAGTTCTCGGTGAGTAAGAGAATTCCTTAACCTGCAATTGCATATACGGTGGTGGAGTTACAGAACTGTTAGTCTTCGCGAGACCTTGGTTTCGTGCGGTTGTGAATATAAAGTTACCTGCGTTCTGGAATGTAGTAATATCATTAGTTCGGTACAATGTTACCAATATTACGGAAGGATATCACTGTCTCTCTCTTCAGGGCATAAAAGTAGGTAAATCGCGGAAGAGATATTACAGATATATAAATGTAGAATGTGGAGGTTTGGTCCCTGAGCGAACTAACCGGAGTGGGGAGAAGGATGAAAAATACAGGGCCCTTAAAAGGGGCATTTTCTAAGAGTTGAGCGAATGGGTGAAATAGTAGCTCTGAGTAGATCAGTACGAGCCAGAGGGAAATCCGGAGAGATATAGACAGTGTCACGTAACTTCGAACAAGGCCCCGCATTCCTAGTCAAATCCCGCGCATAGCTTGTGGTGGGAGCAGTTTCTTAATACTCGTTCTTCCACTGGCCGCCTGTCACTTCTCACACCCTCCACGTCCTTGTCTGAAATTTTTCTTCTGCGCATTCAAGGTTACTCTTGGCCTTGTTCGAAGTTACGTCACACTTGCTATAATAGGGGAACAGTGGCCCTAAAGCGTGCGTACAAATGGACAGTGAGCGGGGGAAGAGACTCAAAATTAACAGGGCCTGATATAGAAGAAGAAAAAAAAAGGATGACGGAAGGAATATGAGGAAGAAATGAAGAAGCAGACGAGAGATAGAATAAGAGGGAAGTATGAGGAAGGAAAAGGAAGCATGCCATAACAAGTTAATATGATTTCTTCAGTTTCACTGTAGTTTGCTTAGTCCTGTCCTACGCGTATACACTGTAACAAATTTTATAATAGGATACATGTCATTAACTCCGGTCTATAAAACCGAAATTAACAGCCGTAGGGATTCGTTGCGCTGACCACGGGACACCCTCTATCCGCTAAATATGGCACTAATTTCAATGATAAGCGGTGATCTCTCGGTCGGTATAGTTCGCTTGCGGACTAAAACCATGGAGTCTAGTCTATGTCATTAACATAAAAGTAAAACCATAAAACTGATGAAACAAGAAGACTGTGAAGAATAGGGTTGTTTCTGGATACGAGTCACGGTAAGCTGTTCTCTCTTTTTGCAGGTTAATTTCGGAGATGTTAAGATACCCAAAAATTTGGACTATCCCAGGCCTCAGAAGATAGACCAACTCAACGGGGTTCACCTTGTCTCCTCTGACCCCATCGTGGTAGTGGACGCCCAGACTCTACTTATACCCAACTTCTCTTACGACGGAGAAGCTCCTGGTAAGTGTCACGACAGCTTCCTACGTCATCACAAACCCTCAGTTTATTTTCATTCATTTAAGAGCGCATTCTCAACGGGAGACAAGTCTATTGTTAATCTCTGTGTTCACCAGCCAAAAATGTTGAGGTGTGTACGTCATACAAAGCACTAAACTTAACAGATATAAAGACTACTGTACCCTTGTATGTGAACCCCTGTAGTCTGCTGGACAACTTTCGAGATTTCGGAGGACCCTGCTGCCTCCATCAGGATAGAAGGGCACTCTGGACATGAAGATAGACGCAGTACTTTCCTTCGAAACGACGATGTCTATCTATCAAACTACACGGCGTCACATTCCCAGAAGAGAGTAGTAAACTTATCGTCTGAAGGTCATTTTCGAAGAGTTCTGTGGGCAACAGCGTTTAAGTTCATTCAGCCTTCGCGTTTCTGGAAGATTGTTGCAGGGCAGGATTCGGCAGTCGAAAGACTGACATTTCCCGCAGTGAGAGAGAGACATCTAAACTGAAATAAACCGTTCCATATGTCGCTTCATCCGTACATAGGCTCTGAAACTATGCGGTGCAAGTTATACCACTTGTTACAGATGCGAAGTTCTGGGTGGGCAGAGGAAACAGACCCAGCCCTCAAGGTATCAGAGTGCCTGACGAGAACGGAAAGGAAGTGCCATTACGTCGATACGACCGCAAGACGATCGTCTTGACCCTGCCAGGAGATCTCACGGTGTTTGATATTGGCCACTTCGGTGTTTGGTGCGAAGCATTTACTGTGGACTTTGGCCACATCCGCATCCCGTCCGGACTCAACGTGCCACCATCACTCAAGATGCTCGGAGTAGCGCCACAGGTAAGCTGGACACGTTACCTCTGATGTACTAAGGCTTCATTATTTATACATGGCTTTTCTTCCGTAAGGTTGTCTGTTCTCTTGAGTAACACACAACAGGATACGCACTACGAAAATTTATGACGTACACTGGATCGTGGAGTAGACGGACCTTATATGGATTCTCTTCCAAAGTTATACACTTTTATATAGAGTTTCCGATGGACGACTTGTCCTATACATTTTGTGCTCTTCTGGTAGGTAATCCCCATGTAAAGGGACAGCAGATGTAGTCCACATCGAGAGAGCAATATTGGTAAATTCTCAGCTATTTAACAACTTTCACTATATAATATCTCCTGGCCCAAATCATGAAAAGAAATCATCTTGTCGACTGACATATGTAATAATACAGGGATGAATCACATGAAAACAGACTGCCTTCTGCATCATTCTCTTTCATATATTTTTCCTCCTCCTGTTCATTCTCTCCTCCTCTTCCGTCAACATCCGGAATGAAGCAGTTGTGTCTTCGGGGTGTCAAATGAATACCATACGAAATGATGACTGAGGCTCCTGAACGGCCATCTGAGGCTATGGAAGGAAGTGATCGTGGCAGATTTTGAATTAGTTCCCTCGTCGTCGACTGGAAAGAATAAAGAAAGCCATGAAATCCTGTCAGGAGAGCCGATAGCCCAACAGACTGCATGTCCAGAATACAAAGCGGGAGCAGGACTCTCGACCACTGATTGGAGAAGAGATGCTGCCAGATCTAGTTATTGTCTCGCTATATTTGATTTGACCATAGGCCTTCACGGCACCCCACACCATCTTTTTGGTAAATCTCAAAACACATGTAATATAATATATGAACATAGGGAATGGCAGATATTGACATAAGGACAAACGTTTTAATCTTAAGATTACGATATCCTAGAACGTGATGCTATGTAACTCGGCGGGTAGCAATGATGCACATGAATATGTTGTCTCCAGATTCTGGGTAGAAAACCTTTCGAAAATTTCCCGCGTTTTATCCCAACGATCAACATCGGTATCAAAATATTTTGGCAAATTGATAACCAGTCACCTGAAGACGGCATTGGAGCCAATTTCGAAGAGTAGTATACATCAAATATTCATAAACAATTACACAGTTTTGCCTACAGAATTATTTTAATGATTCCCATAGATAGATAAAGAGGCATGAATCTCTTAATGTCTTTAAAAATATATAAGTCAGGAAACTTTAAGTAAAGAAACTCTACTTGGGAGACCCACGCATAGATGGGAGATTAATATGAAACAAATAGAATATAGCAGTGTTGAGTAGATTAATCTTAAACGGAACGGAGACCATGAGGGAGCTCTTGTGAACATTGTAATAAGCCTGCCGTTTCCGCAGGAGGAGGAGAATTTATTGAACAGCATACCTTCTCAAGAAGGACCATGCTTCATGGAGAGACGTAATGGGTCGTTAGTTTAAGTGGGTCTGGAACAGGGTCCACTCAGCCTCTTGAGCATAACTAAGGAGATACTTGAATGGAAAAGTAGCGGCTTCGGTGTAGAAAACCGAAATTAACGGCCCTGGGGATTCGTTGCGTTGACCACGCGGCACCATCTATCCGCTGAAGTTGGCACTAACTTCGCCGACAAGCGGCGGTCGCTCGGTCGGTATAGTTGGCTTGCGGACTAAGACCATGGAGTTTAGTTTTTATACATAAAATAGGTCTTAAGAGGATATGATTTTCATTATATGACGCTACCGTGCCGCCGTCAGAACTTTCCCAAAACCAGTCTTGGCCACCCGCTTTGAAATCACTATCGCAACGTCATAAAGCGAAGACTGTAGAATTTAACAGCATTACCAATCTATGCAAAAAAATATATATAGTAGATCGTACTGGCATTTTTGTCATTAATAACTAAATAAACTGTAATTATTTATAACAGGCCAGAAAAGCAGGTCCATGCATATCTCATCTGATGATACTGTGAACCCGTGTAACAATTAGCCAGTATCATACCACAATATGGACTGGAGACTCCACGCGGATAGCTCACAGTACTATTTATTGCGTGCAGATGTCAGACGTGCATGGGGGCCACGTGAAACCGATATAGAGTGCGCTCTGATACATGGGCGCCGTTTCCTTCCTACGATACAGGAATACTCGATGCAGCACATTCACAGAATCAATGCAAAACAGAGTTACGTGACAAATGCGAGAAGCTCTGAAGAAAAAAGAGGCGTTTCTACTCTCTGACGAAGATCTTGCAATACATGGTACCTAATGCTTTTATGCACTTTATATAAAGTTAATATCATAGGAGTTACTTTCGCAATTATATTTTCATTATTCATCATCACTGGCTCGACATCCAAAGCCTCTTCCGCTCTTCCAGTTCTGTCTTCCTGATGTCCCGGTCCATACTACATGGCATCTTAGTTTCATCATAATCGTTGGCAAACCATCCTTTTTGAGTCACAGCCTTCCTTAGAAGATTCTGCCAGAATTGTCTTCAATTAGACCACGCCATTTTCACTTTTTCGGGTTTCGCAACTATAATTTCTTACAGAGCAAAGTCGTTAGCCTTGCGTCCAACCACTGCCTGGAGGACCAGGTCGCTGTATTTATGTTCCCCCAGTGCCAGACTGGCCCACATACACCTCCAGACACTGGCACTGAATTTGAGGCTCTCACAGCGGTGGTCATGCAAAGTACTATCTTCTGGGATATACCGCCGTGTAGTCCGCTGAAAGTCAACTGATGTTTCGGAGAAACATACGGTATAGCTTCCATCTTCAGGGTCGGAGACTAAGTTCTGCTAACACCTACTTCTATGCTGATTTCTTGCTCAGCTTAGTCTTCGATCCCGAAGATGGAAGACGTATGTTCCTCCGAAACGTCGGTTGACTTCCAGCGGACTATATGGCGCTATATCACAGAAGACATACTATTCATTAATGTTTTTGTTGTAATGGGAAGAAATACAATACGTAATTATTCTATATTCCATCAGTAACATTTGACGTTCCCGAAACATTAAACAAAACCATAACTAAATGCAGCCTACGTAAAGTTAACCTAAATTCTGTGAAAGAATTTCGTCTACGCCAGATGTAATGGTTATACCGCTGCGACTCCATCTTTCGGAATTATGTGGCGTTGTTTTTCCATAAGAGGCGGAATCGTTAATGGTGTCGTGAGCCGGTCTCCTGGGACTCATGTATGATAATGGGTTGTATCACGTCAAGACGGGGTTGGAATTAAAGCAGAAGAGACTATGTTGTGCTTCATTTCCCACGAACTCTCACTATACATAAACAACACACGGAAACATACGTAAAATCCGATATTTTTTCACTGGCTCTAGTGCCCCCTTGGGCATTGGCCTCTGATTTTCAGGTTCATAATCATTTTACAGACGGTAGGACTCCTTAGAGGAGTGATCAGCTCATCGCAAGACCTCTACCTAAACAGAGGACAACACAAACACAGACATCCATGCCCCGAGTGGGATTCGAACCCACGATTCTGGTTCCGAGAGAGCGAAGACAGACCATGCCTTAGACCGCTCGGCTACCGTGCAATATTAGTGGTTTCAGTTTATGGAATTTTCTTCAGGAGTTAATGTTTTCATTTGTGATGAGTTTGGTAAAAGCGTTTCCCGTTTGTACACATTACTGTCAGCCTGAAGCTGACCACTCGCCTATAACTAGTGCCAAGGCAAAGAAACGTGGATCTATACATCCACTCCGCCATACACCTTCATGGCGTAGTGCTTAATTAGTTAGGCACGGGGACAACTTTACCTTTTTTTTCATTGGCGCTACGGCCCTCATTTGGGCCTAGGCCTACTTCCATGAAACTCTCCATTTCACTTCGGTTTACTAGATCTTGGACATTCGGTAGGACTCCTTGGGCGGGTGATCAGCTCGTCGCAAGGCCTCTACATGTACACGAACACAGAAAAACGCATACCAAACATCCATGCCCTGAGTGAGATTCGAACCCACGATCCCGGTTTCCGAGCGAGCGAAGACAGCGCATGTCCAACTTTACCTTTACCTTGCCTAATTAACATTAGGAGCGTACACTAGCAAAATAATGAGTTGTACTAAAATAATGCAATTGCTTACTCATTATAATAAATTCAATTTGGAAGAGAATTATGACTTTTTAAACGTACAAATTCAGCATTCGTCTCGGCAGACGGAGGAAAATTTCAAACTCGGCAACTGGCAAATTTACCGATATTCTAAGCGGGTCACTCCTAAGAACACTTCTCAAAGCTTTGTTTCTAAGGTGGAGTGCTGAACAAAAATTCTTCAGTATATGACGTGGTCTGGATGTGACTACATGAGCCAACAATTGAGATCATGTTACATAACTAATGCATTGTTTTGGTGTGCGGGCCACCACCCTGTTGTTGTGACACCAATGAATCATATGAAAGTTGCATTCGGTTCCGCAACACTTGCGTACGTTTGCACTCCGCCCCTTGGATTCTATTGGAATAAACAGCATTAACACTATCGTGAGTTAATAAAACAAACTCCGTGGTTTTAGTCCGCAAGCGAACTATATCGACGGAACGACCGCCGCTTGTCGGCGAAGTAAGTGCCAACTTTAGGGGAGAGATGTCTCGTGGTCGGCGCAACGAATCCCCACGGCCGTTAATTTCTGTTTTCTAGACCGGATCGTGAGTAAATTAATTGTGAAGAATTATATCACCCTTCAAGCAAGCAAATGAATGGCAGCACAAGGAGTACGGCGACTACGTTGCGGTCTGGACAACCGACGGAATGGGATTCAATTTCCACAGCGTCCAGACAGGATCTGGGACAATCCAGGCTCCGAACCAGTGTGAATCGCGAGGCTCCTCCCCAGGAATAAATCTTCAGGAGTGAGGCTGGCAACCTCTTATCTAGCGCCCAGGTTAAGAGTGAGATTCTTCCATTCCTCCATGCTCATGGCGTGTTGCATAATTAAAGGCAGGAGTAACTGTGCCTTTAA